ATCATTGTGTTTCTTATTCTTAATGCAAAGCCTACTCTGTTCATATGCATAATCATCATTACTCTGTTAATAACAAATGCAGATTCAGTTTATTTCCTGAGTTTTAGTCTTTGCATATTTGGCATGTTGTTCTGATACCTGAGGTAGAATTTGCTGGGTACACTGAGTTCATATATCATTTCAGTTATTTTAAACTTCTCCATTAATACCACCAATGAGCCATACCTAATGCCAGAGACAAAACAAGATCACCAAAGAGCACTTACTCAATCACTGTCAAAGTCATTCTTACTAGAACTTTTTTGCTTCAATAGATAGGTGAATGTCCCTAAGTAAATACTAAATGACAAGTTAATGTAGAAAAAAATTGGAGATAGAGTGAAAAAAGTTGTCATCGTACAAGATTAAACCAAATACTTCTTATGTAGCATGTTTCTGCTTTAAATAGTTTCTTATTCTGTTCAAATCATTCTTTTAAAATTCAGTTCACATTCTGTCTCTTAAGGTTTCTTTCCAAGTATCTCCTTTTATGATGCACCTTTTCCTCAACTTACTTAAAAAGTCTTACTTAGTACCTGCTGCAAGTCAGCTACTATTTCACCTTCTGGACATGAGCAGTGAACAAAATAGACCAAGAATCTAATATCACAGAACTTAGATTTTAGGATAAAAGGAAGACCAATAAGCAATTGAAGAAATTTGTCAAGTAGGGTAAAAGCTATGGACAAAACATAAAAAACAGTAATTGGGTAAACTTTATGTGATTAATACTTGTGTCTTTGTAAGGAAAAACATGGTGAATTATAACAAAAAGTTGGATTCAATGTCTGATGTTTTACTGCTCACAACTTTTTTTTATTATATATTTCTTACATCATTTTTCATTTTTGAACAATATATGCATTTTCATCTTGGTTACAGTCCCCATACAATTCCCACCACCCTTGTTTTGAAACTACTCCCTTCTCTTCCTCCCCCCGGTGTGTGTCCCTGGTTTATAGTTGCTTGTTGATTTTGATTTTTACTTTATTATAATTAGCCTTTTTCCTAGTCTCTTATTTAAGTTTTCTAAATTCCTGCTATGAGTGAGACCATCTGGTATTTTTCTTTTTCTTTCTGGCTGATTTCACTGAGCATGATCCCATCTAACTCCATCCATGTTGCTGTAAATGACATGAGTTTATCTTTTTTGATTGCTGAGTAATATTCCATTCTGTATATGTACCACATCTTCTTGATCCAGTCATCTATTTTGGGGCATTTGGGTTGTTTTAATAGCTTACCTATTGTAAATAGTGCTGCGACAAACATAGGGGTGAAGGTGGTCTTTGGAATTATTTTTTCTGTGTCCTTTGGGTAAATATCTAGGAGTGAAATTGCTGGATCATATGGAAGCTCCATCTTTAGCAGATTGAGGAGCCTCTCTGCATAGTGATTGGACCAGTTTGCACACCATAAAATACATAGAAGGAAATATATACAAAACACTACATGACATACACTTCAGTAACATCTTTAAAGACACATCACCCAAAGCAGTGATAGTGAAGGCAAAGATAAACAGATAGGACTACATCAAATTAAAGAGCTTCTGCACAGCAAAAGCTACAGAAAACAAAAATAAACACCCCACTAATTGGGAGAAAATTTTTGCACACAACACTAATGATAAAGGACTGATAACAAAAATCTACAAAGAGCTGATGAGACTCAACAAAAACAAAGTAAATAACCCAGTCAAAAAAATGGGCAGAAGAGCTGAAAATTCTCCAAAGAGGAAATGCAAATGGCCAACAGGCATTTGAAAAAAATTGTTCAACATCACTTGTAATCAGGGAAATGCAAATCAAAACTACAATGAGATACCAGTGAGAATGGCACATATTAAAAAAAAAAACAAAAAAAAAAAACCTAGCAACAACAAATGTTGGTGAGGATGTGGAGAAAAAGGAACTCTCCTGCACTGTTGGTGAAAGTGCTCATAACCTTAAACCTTCCTCCCTTCTCCCCTCTGTTCCACCTCTGAGCAAGCTAATGAGGCATCATAGATTTACTTTATTTGGCATCAGTGGTAGTTGGAAGCCCATGATATCATGCAAGAACCCCACTCCTTAAACCTCCATAAAAATCCTGCACCCATTTCCTTCCCTGCTTTCTCAATTCACTTGCACACCCACTGGGAGGATTGCCTTTCTTGCCTCAGAAAGCATCATTATCCTTTCTGTGTGGTGCCATCAATTTTGACATCCAAATCAAACATTTGTTGAGGGGTTCATGCTGATATTGTGTTATGATTGCAACACCTGTAAATATAGGTGAGGTGAAATATAAACAAAGATGCAAAAACATGAACTGCCCTTGCGTTCGGGTGAACTGAAAGTTCAATTTTACTAGAATAAACATTATGAAGTGTAAAGTGGTAGAAAAGAGACTAGGGAAAATGGTAGAAGTTTTGTGACTATGGCATGATATATTCTTTGGAAGACTCTTAATCCATGTAGTAGGATTAAGGGAGCACAGGGCTTACACTCATATAAACCTAGAATGGAAACTAAATTAGTGACATGGGTAAGAGTCAAGAACACTTATTGAGGGCCTCCCCGGTGGCGCAGCGGTTGAGCGCTGGGTTGCGAAGCTGCCCGCGGCCTCTGTGGCGCCGGTTCGATCCCCAGCTGCTCCCCGGCCACCAGAGGAGGGTCCCACATGGCGTGCAGACCTCTCCTGCCGCCCGCTGCTCCCCTCAGCAGTGTACTTCGGTCCTTCTGCCTGCTCTGCTCCCCGCTCTGGCTCTGGTGAATTCTCTCACCCTCCCGCGCTTCTGACTGTACCCAGTGCATGTATAAACAAAACAAACAAACAAACCAGCAAACAAATAAATAAAGCATGCCTCTATAAAAAAAAAAAAAAAAAAAAAAAAAAAGAACACTTATTGAGAGTCAGTGTCCCTAACAGTTATGTTCTATCCAAACTTCTATTATTCATGACATTTTCCACAATGCAGTCAGAGTGATTTTGCAAAATGCACACAGTTGATGCAAGTTTCTTGATAAAACCATATAAATAGTTATTTCTGGTTTATAGCAAACACATAATCGAACAAACACTAACTATTCATGCCCTACATACATGGGAGGAAACCAGGAAATTATATTGCTGTAAGAACCAAGTTTGCTATTCTTAGAGTTTATTTCTATGATAATATTCGTTCATGGTGATGCATAAATGGCATACACAATATATGAACTATATCAGAAATTTATTATAAGAATAATCATTTTTCATTTGGCTTCACCAATTAACAAGTGTTTTTTGTGCCTTTTCTCCAATGATTAAATGATTATTTCACTAATGGTTATTTTAGTATTTTTGGCTCTCTTTTCTCTCTAATCTTCAGTTTTATTAGGCTATTTATGCCTGATTTTTTACATGGAGTTATTTTCCTCTATTCTATTTTGTTTATATTCTGTATCTTACTCATTGGTGATTTAGCTGAAGCAGACATTACATTAAAGCTATATATAACCAAAAGTAAACATTCATTCATTATTATAGTCTCAGTTAAATTCTTTTTTTTTTAAACCCAGGTTCTTTTTTTTTTTAAGATTTATTTATTAATACAAGCACTGGGTACAGTCAGAAGCGCTGGAGGGTGAGAGAATTCACCAGAGTCAGAGCGGAGAGCAAAGCAGGCAGACTGACTGACGAAGCACACTGCTGAGGGGATCAGCGGGTGGCTGGAGAGGTCTGAGCGCGATGTGAGACCCTTGCCCAGTGGCCGGGCATCGAACCAGCGCTGCAGAGGCTGCGGGCAGCTTCGCAGCCCAGCGCTCAACCACTGTGCCACCAGGGGAGGCCCTCAGTTAAATTCTTAAAGTAATACTTGTCAACATTCCAAGAGAGGTCTTGGTATTTGTTAAAAAAGTAATATTACAGTCTTTCAAAACAAGCATATTTTACCCCTTACACACATTTTATGATTCTATGAACTTGGTCATTATTATGGGCCAAATGTTTATGTCTCCCAAGTTTCATATGTTGGAACTCTACTTCCCAGTGTGATAGTATTAGGAGATAGGGATTTTAAAAATTAATTAGGAACAGATAAGTTATGAGGGTTGTTTCCTTGACTGAAGTTTGTGTCCTTATAAACATCAAGGGAATGCCTACTCTCTATTTTTAGTTGTGTGATGATATGAGGAACTAGCCAGGAAGCTGAATCTCCCCAGTCAGGTGACTTGATTTTGGATTTTTTCTCTAGAATTGTTAGAACTGAATGATTTTGATTAAGAAACATGCTATAAAATTATACTAGCAAAAAACTATGATGCATAAGTCTCTTGACCACTATAAGGGGAGGAATAGGCTGATCCTATAGTGCAGTGTCCAACAGAGGAAAGATCAACAAATCTAGGCTATATAGTGGACATTTCACTGTGTAATTACTACTTTTTCATTTCATCTGAAAATTATACTGCCAAATCCAGGAACATTTTATAATATTCAATTGGATTTTGATTCAATCAAACAAATACTGCCTTCCTATTATCTTCCAGGTACTTTCCAGTTGTATATGAATAATATAGTAATCATGACAGATAGTCCCTTTATACTCGATGAACATGTTAGAAATAATTTGCTATTAAAATTTCTTTAAATTCAAACAATGAAGTGAGGAATATGCCCCTAACCTCTTATCTACATTGTCCTATTTTATGACCATGCATGATGGGGAACAAATTGTTCTGAATGTCCAAGTCCAGACTATTTGCTCTGTCTAGACTAGACATCAATGCCACGCAGCCCACTGAAAATAGGGTGGAATATTTTCTAAAAGAAAGAGTGTCACTTAACAGGAGTAGTAATGCCACATTAAAATAAGCACAACAGCTATATTCCACCACTTCTGTGGATATCTGGAAATTTTCTTTCCAAACACTTCTTTGAAAAAAAAACATTCTCTTAACATTATGCAACTATTTTGAATAAAACTGAAAACTCACTCATTCTGTCCCGAGAGGAAGACAACACTCCTAGTTCCACATCCAGGATGATTAGCATTTCTTTCATTCAGGTCCAGATGGAGCTCATCACAGTCCAGTAATCTGTGGAGAAATGATAAATTTTACAAAACTCTCACACACCCACAACACAGTGCTGCAGGAGAACGACAATAAACATTGCCATTTGGAGTATGGTACAGGAAGAATCACAATGGTCTTTCTGGGTGAAGACAGCAAAGATTCATGTCCTGCAAAAGGAGTGAGCTCTGAATCAGCGAGTTTTGACAGACCAAGGCTTTGCTCTCAGTGTGAGTCTTTTATTCTACTGTCCACAGATAAAGTATTTGTAAGATGTTTTCTTCAGAGACTGCATTACTTTATTATGTGCTACTAACTTATTTAGGGGGATTAGGAACTTTCAGTGATTATTAATCAAGCCTGAGACATACTTAGATTTGGTCTCTGTCTTGCAATATATTTTTTTCAAATTATAGGTTGCATTCAAGTACTTGTTTCTTGAACACTGAGAATTCCTTTTGCTCAGAAAGTGTAATACATGATGGAGGGATTTTTTTTTTTTTAATAGCCTATCACCAAAAGCAGCAGTAGTGCAACAGTTTGATAAACATGTTAGATAAATGAATTAACACATTTCCTTGTTCAAGTTCTATCATCTGTGTCCACTAAATAGATCTTCAACTTGCTCATTTTTCTCTATCTCCCTCAAGTCACCATAATCTACTGTGTCAGCCTACTAAATGGATCCTCTTCTGAAAGCCTTGTTCCATTCCTTTCTATTATACACCAACAGCATAACTGCGGTTTTAAAATACAGATCATGCTTATGCCTATGTCATCTTTAAGAATTTCCCATTCCTTTTTAGGATCAAATTTAAAGTTTCTAGGGGCCTCCTGGTGGCACAGCAGTTGAGCGCTGGGTTGCGAAGCTGCCCGCAGTCTCTGCAGACTGGTTCGATCCCCGGCTGCTCCCGGGCCACCGGAGGAGGGTCCCACATGGCGCACAGACCTCCCCTGCAGCCCGCTGCTCCCCTCAGCAGTGTACTTCGGTCCTTCTGCCTGCTCTGCTCCCCGCTCTGGCTCTGGTGAATTCTCTCACCCTCCTGAGCTTCTGACTGTACCCAGTGCTTGTATAAATAAATAAATAAATCTTTAAAAAAAAAAATAAAGTTTCTACCATCATAGCCTGGTTTCTGTTTCCTCTCTATCTCTGTGCTTCTAATCCAACGGCCTCCCTCTCTCCCCTGTTCTCTAGATTGTAGCTATTCTGAACTTCTTCCAGTTTAGTAAATATTCCAAACATTTTAAGTTTATTCTTTTCATTTTCTCTTCATTCTGTGTAAAATCTCACTTTTGATCCATCATTCTGTACTTTATCTGGCAAGTTTCTGGTTGTGCTGAAACATTAGGGGGCTTCTGACAAGCTTTAAGTTAAATTCCCTTGGTAATGAACCCTTAAACTCAATTTATTAGCACACATCCCTTTTGTAATTACTTGCTGAGTGTCTGCACAGCAGACATCTGTTGTGTAAGCCTGCACAATGCCACTTTTAGAACAGAGTCCTCCTTCCCATTTGGGAGTCATTCATTCTGCTGACATTTTCATACATGGAGGGTGCCCTGCTCCCTTTACTGGGTATGCGAATGACTCAGACTTGGCATTGAGACTCTGCTTTCCCCTCTATATCTTAGTTTAATGGCAGAAAACAGGCCTCCCACCTCAGAACAATAGCACTATATTGCTTCCAAATATGGTTTCATAAAATAGACACTTATTTTTATTTGGAGGCTTTGGACAGGCCATCTGATTTATCAAACATTTCTAGGGCCCCCCTAAAAAAGAAAGGGTGCTCCTAATATAAATTCCAATATTTGAAATGTTAAAACAGATAATGTCATTTTAAAATTACTTGATACTTTTTAACTTCTACTTGATAAGTTTTCAGAAAAAAGACAGGATCCCATCTCTTTGCAGCTAACTCTTATATTTAAGTCTCCAGTACCTGAAGTAGTACTGGACAAAAAAGTTACTAAGTCTATATTTTTATCTTAAAAACAAAATGAACAGCTTAGAAGTTTCCTTTTAAAACTTTCTTATAGTCAGAGCAGTAAAACTCATTTTAGATTTTTTTTTTATTCAGACCTCATACAGATATTTTAGTTAAAATCCTAGAAAATGTATCCAGTACAGGAAAAGATTAAGGTATTTTGAGAAATGAGGAATATCCATTTAACTGCTTTAATCAATATCTTTATTTTCCAGGCTAGAATATATTGATGAAAGCTTTTGTAAAATGAATTGACGAGCTTCATGGTTTCAGATTCATCATTAATTTCATGATTTCTCATTTATCACAGCAAGTTTGTTTCATGCCATTTTCTATATTCTTGTAGGAAAGGCAATTCATTTAATTTTGCTGCTGTTTTAAAATACAGTTCTACTGAAGATAGCTGGAATGTTTATTCAAATATTGGTTATATAATATCCTTGACAAATAGATATAGAGGTCAAAAAGAAGACAGAAACTAGGAATTCATTTCTCAAATTGTCTTTCAAATACCCAGGAACATATTCATACAGGGGAAAAATAAAACTAATTTCTGTAGCAGCTCTAAAAAATATAAATGGTTATTGTGCCCAATGACAAATGAGTGAATTAAAAAGATAGTACATACATGCTGTAATGTTACTCAGTTACAAAAAATGATGAAATTTTGCCATTTGCAACAACATGGTTGGAACTGGAGGAAATTATTCTGAGTGAAATGTCAGGAGAAATACACATACCAAATTATTTGTACTGACCTGACCGGGTCCTTTTGCTCCCCACGCAGAAATTCAAAAGCTGAACCATAAGAACTTCTGCAAAGGAAGTTTTTATCCCTCTGGTAGCAACATCACAGAGAGTAAGGCAGAGCTGAACACTCACAATCTCACTGAGTCTGTTTTAAAGGGTATATAGAAGGTGGTGCTAGCGACTTCTCGTGCAGACTCACAGAGGCCCCAGCTGCTCTAGCTAACCCGACAGCTGTGGATAGTTTCGCTCTGGAATGCTTCTTTGTTTTTCAATTGGGTTATGAGCCCTCCTAGAAGGTTGTTATGAGGAGCAGGTATTGACAATTATCTATTCAAAATGGCAGTGTTTGGGAGAGAGGTTAGCAACTCCATCTTTGACTGTTACAATTTCACTCAAATATGGAATATAAAGACATAAAACAAACAAAAACAACAACATAAACCAGGCAAAACTAAACAAAACAGCCTCTAGAAATCTGACTGTAGAATTGCAATTACCAGAAGCAGAAGGCAGGGATGTGGCATCAAGGGAACAAGGGGGCTCAATGGACTAGCGGTGGATTGTGGGGTGTGGTGCCGTGACTACATCTACCAAAATGTTGGCAGAAAGGTCAGGGAGAATCAGAGGATCTCAACCCCGGGTCCAGTTTCTTGACACTGTTTCAGGGAGGAATTCAAGTTCAGTCAGACTGTTATACAGGATATATTGCAAAGTTATTACACAGTATAGGGTAAGTAAAGTATCAGGCTCTTCTGCTCTCCAGCCATTACGATTGATGATGGAACCCTATGTTCCTGAAAGCATGCCTGATGGTGGCCATTTGGAGTGGGGTGTGGGCATGCGTAAGTGGGTACACCTGGGCTAAGACGGGCTTATAAGGGGTCTTATAAGGGTGTTGTCACAGGGATGCCAGCAGAGCGAAAAGAGCAGACCACCAGAAGAAGGACCAGAAAAGGAAGCAGAGGCCACGAGAGAACACTGAAGAGCCCAGAAAGAGTGAACACTCGCTGGGGGCTGGGAGGCTGGCAGGCCTGCCTGCTGTGTACCTGGTAAATGCTTGCCTGAAAAAGCCACTGAGGGGTCCAGGACTCCTCCTTTACCTGTCTGCTCCAATCATAGAAATCCTGCTCTGGCCCCTTCTGCTGCTACACACGCTTTCATGCATACGTGCTCGGAGAGGAGTCTCACCTGTCAAAGTTTGGGGGCTGTGCTTTCATGAGCGGGGTAAATGAGTATGTGGAATATTCCTGGACTTCCTTGGAAAAGGGTGAAGATTTCCCAGAATTTAATTTTCACCCATTTTTGTGGCCATGTATGTTCATGCTGGGAAGTGTCATAGATACAGTATTAGTAAGTTTACAAATAATATAAAGAATGTCTTACCATGAATTTAGTGTGATGCCCTGTGCAGAAAAATAAGCAAAATAAAACCAGTAACTCATTCTTGGTTTAGCGTGCTTAAAAATAATGACTTGCTATATAATTAATACAAAAACTGTCTTCATGTTGTAAACAAATAAAATGTTTGTAAAATAGGTGACATATTGAGCCTACCCAGTGGCGTAGCAGTTGAGCACTGGGTTGCGAAGCTGCCCGCAGCCTCTGCAGCGCCGGTTCAATTCCCAGCTGCTCCCCGGCCACCGGAGGAGGGTCCCGCATGGCGCGCAGACCTCTCCTGCCGCCCGCTGCTCCCCTCAGCAGTGTACTTCAGTCCTTCTGCCTGCTCTGCTCCCGGCTCTGGCTCCGGTGAATTTTCTCACGCTCCCGCGCTTCTGACTGTACCCAGTGCTTGTATAAATCAATCAGTCAATCAATCTTGTATAAATAAATAAATAAATAAATCTTTAAAAAAAATAGGTGACATATTTTTGTAACATGCCCTTATATACTCCAGGTGCCAGTGCTTTGATAGAAAATAAGTAACCTTGAACAAATGGGATGTAAGGTGTGTCTAAAATACCTTTGGTTATAAGATAAAAAGGCCTATTTACCAGTGAATATCAGGCACAACCAACGTTGGCTTCAGCATCAGCTCAGAATATGTTGATAGTTTTCCAAGATTGGAATGACGCTATCAGAGAATAAACAACTCCTTGGCAGATCAGGTGGAAGTTATCAGCAAACAGTGGCCAGTAGACACCAGCTGGGAGAAAACAGTTTTCCAAAGGAGGACAGAGATAGACCCAGTCAGTACCTGTAATACCACAGCCTGTGCCATACACTCCTCTCCCCTCTTTCTTCTCTTAGTGCGCTAACATAGCTACTTAATTGCTGAATTAACTGAATTGCTTAATTGATTTGATGGCTCAAAAGGCTTGTTGAATGAGAATAAATGTGTATTATGATGGCTTATGGTTTTTTTGAATACTTCTTCCAGTTGCCTGAACTGTGTCTTTTTTATAATCACAGTCAAAGATTAGATTTTTATTATGAGGAGTTTTATATCTATTTGGACCTTAGTGCACAATATATGAAAAACTGGGAGTGATAAAATTGAAGAAAAATTGCATAAAATTGTCAATGCTAAAAATTATATCAAACAATCTTGGCTTGAATGAAATCATCCAAATAGTATTGTCTCTGTGATGAGAACTTGAACTTAATTTTTAATTTTCTCTGACATTCTATATTAAAAAATAGTATTGCAATTGCCATTTCAATGCAAAAGATTATATAATTGTGTGTATGTAATTTTATTCCATCTCTAATTAAATAACATGTTCATAATTTAAGTATATAACTAGTATGGTTTTGATTGAGTTTTAACACTATCATAATAAGCTGTGCTATGATAAAAAAAATGTGCCATACTGACTCTTAGAATGAGAAAGGCAACTTGAAGCTACTGTGTTCTGACTGATGGTACAGGTTTGGTGTAGGGTAAGGTCAAAGTATCAGGCTTTACTGCCCTTCCGCCATTAGGATAGATGTGGGAACGCTGTGGTCCTGAATGCATGCCTGATGGCGGGCACCTGAAGAGGGGACACCTGGGCTGAGAGACTGAGTTAATAAGGGCGGCGTCGCGGGGACAGCCAGCAAAACCAAGAACGAACAGAAGCCGAGAGAAGAAGAAGCAGAGAGCTCAGAGTGAGGATTTGCTGGGGGCTGGGAGGACTGCCAGCCTCCCGGCCCCCCAGCACCCCTGCCTGCCATGTGCCTGGTAAATCTAAATAAAAGACCAGCAAAAGCCACTGAGGACTCTGACTCCTCCTTTACCCGGTCTGCTGGGTCAGAAAACTTGCTCAGTGGCCCATTCTGCCCCTACATTTGGATTTGTATTAAGAAATTTGAATAGTATAAGAGTAAAAAAATGTATTAAACATGGACAGATATGATTTATAGAAACTGTAGTTAAAGCATGTTAAGGATGACTGGTGTAATTTTATATTATAATATTAAATGTGTACATTAATATAGAGCTGAAGAAAAAATAGACTTAATATCAGCCTGCTTGTTGGTATAATTTCAAATGCCAATTCATTAATTGAGCTTTTTGATGCTTCTAGTATAATAAAACTGTTTTAGTAAGTACAAGTGCTAGTCTCTAAGGGATAATTTAATTTTCACAAACATCTTTAAAATCAGTTTTTTTTTTAATATTTATTTATTTATTTATACAAGTACTGGGTATAGTCAGAAGTGCGGGAGGGTGAGAGAATTCATCAGAGCCAGAGTGGGGAGCAGAACAGGCAAAAGGACTGAAGTACACTGCTGAGGGGAGCAGCGGGCACGGCAGGAAAGGTCTGCGCGCCATGTGGGACCCTCGCCGGTGGCCGGGGATCGAACCAGCGCTGCAGAGGCTGCAGGCAGCTTCGCAGCCCAGCGCTCAACTGCTGCGCCACCAGGGGAGGCCCCAGTTTATAAATTTAATCATCATAATTTTACCTATGTATGCTTACAATAGAGACAAGTGATCTACTTTAGACAGAGTATAATTTTATAATAAATGAATTATAAAGCATTAAACTTTATATTTTTGAACACTGCTCTTTCTTTTTGATTCCTTCATATCCTATTTGATTTGTTTGCTTATCGGTAATCTTATTTGTAACCTAATGTAGTAATCCTGAAACCAAGCTCCCTATATTCTAGAATCAGATTTTCTGACAGTCAAACAACGTGCAGTTCTTAATGAATGAAGGGTAGTGTATTGTTTTACTGGGGCTGTCATACTATAACACTATACAAACAACGGAAATTCATTTTCTCTGTTCTGGAGGCCAGTGGTCCAAGATCAAGGTGTCACCAATCCTGGTTTCTTCTATAACCTCTTTTCTTGGCTTGCAGTTTGCCACCTTTTTGCAGTAACCTCCTATGGTCATTCTTTGTCCTAATCCTAATCTTTTCTTAAGAGCACTTCATTCAAATTGTATCAGGGTATGTCCCTATGGCCTCATTTTAACTTATTTACCACTTTGAAGGACCTATTTCCAAATACAGTTATATTCTGAGGTGCTGGTGACTAGGACTACAACACAGACTTCAGGGGAAAACAGTTTTGTCCCTTACAAACAGGGTGACTCGCATTGCCAGATATGCCTATCCCAATTCATTTCTATTTCCTACTTTAATAGGCCTTCAATAAAAACTTGACAAGAAAACAAATGATCCCCACGTGTATACTACTTTTAAATGTGAGTCAAAATAGCAAACTCTCGCATAGAGTTCATAATCTATGCTTTAAACATGGTGGTTCTTATTTTACTATCAATCTGTTACTAGTGAAAATTAACATTAGATTCCTGTTTTTATTCTGGCCCCTAATCTTTGAGAAAATATATTATCTTTCATAAATCTAAAATATTAGTTTCTTTTTTATATTTTCGTAAGCATTATTTTAAGAATTGCTTTTTCTTTTGCATCCTTCTGAATTCTACATTTGGTAGAAAGAAACAAAGCAGTAACTCAGAAGCTTAATATGCTAATCCTCACAAGTTAGCCTTACAGGGAATTTTGGGGGCTGGTTATTACTGGATGTTACAGTTCTAGCCTACACACTAAGTATCCGTTTCTAGACCTCTATGTTTTCTTGGCTTTCTGTGGTTCTCAGACTCCTATCTTTGTTTTTTGTTTAGTCAGTATAATATAAAGGATTTCTATTT